TTTGATCTCGATTACAACTTGATTACAAAAGAGAGGAGAACGAAATTGGTTCTTCCTCTTTGTTTAAAACTGGGTTCTTCACGGTGGCGATGGAATGCCTCCTTCGATTGCTCGCGTCGAAATTGCTCTCCGTTGACGATCCGATGTTTTGCTTCACTGGACGATATCTTCTCCTCACGATTTGACGTTGTGGAGAACTTGCGTGGCAAGTTTGAGAACTCTGAACGAGTTTAGAAGAACTCTGTAAAAGAGTTGATTTGAACCGAAGATCGGTTAATAAGCCAAGGCTAGAAGAAAGCTCTGGTGGTCGATCTTAGCTGAGGATGAACGTCGATCTCCCTCTTGCTGCCAATTCTTAGATCCGAAAATTCCAGCCAAAAACCCCCGCCCGGAACTCAGGGCCAAAGGGACGGTTATCAGCACGTTCCATCGTGCTTAAAACCGTTCTCCCACGACCTTTAACCACTTTTTTCGTGGTTTAACTGCTTGTCCACGTCAGCACACGTTTTATTTCTGATATGCTGCCACGTAGGCCTCAAAAAATCATCATATAACTGCCTTGTAACCGCCACAGTATCCTTCTTTAACTGCCGCGGCACTGCAGGTTGCAGCGCCTAAGCCGCGGCACCCTAGGCTGTCGCGCCTTAGCCGCGGCACCATGGGCTGCCGCGCCTTAGCCGCGGCACCATGAGTATCCTTCTTTAACTGCCGCGGCACTGCAGGTTGCAGCGCCTAAGCCGCGGCACCCTAGGCTGTCGCGCCTTAGCCGCGGCACCATGGGCTGCCGCGCCTTAGCCGCGGCACCATTGGCTGCCGCGCCACAGTGCTGCCTGATGACGTGTATATTGTTCTTCTACGTTGTTTTGAGTAGTGTTTGGACGTCTGTAAGTATTTTTTAACGTCTACAGTTCGACCCTGGCGTTTTGATGTTGAAACGCGGGTTCGACCTCCGCGTCTTGCCTTGCAGAGATTATCACCAAGTAATCTCTTTTTGTCATAGCGTTGCAAAGATCATTGTCTTATAATCTTCGTCTTGGCTCCTTGAGAATATGAGAGTCGTCAGATTGTAACTCCCGATGTTGATTGTGAAGGCTGTTGAAGTAGAGCTCTCATCGGTTGTCGTGAAGGTCGTCAGATTATAACATTCAGCGATCTACGCGAAAGTCTTCAGATTACAGCCTTCTGGAAGTCGTCAGATTGTAACTTCCATCATCGGTGGTTGATGGGGGATAAGCTATCTATTGTGATTTTTAGACAGCCTACACTATATTTTTGTTGTGATTAGCTACATTTTGCTGGACGTTGTTATAATTAATTGTAAATTGTTGGATACCAAACTACTGAAATAAATAAAGTGGGCTTAAAAGTAAATTAATAAAGTGTCATTAGGTTTTAGAGTAAATATAGAAATGGGCGGTTTTAAAAATAAATGGGGGAAATCTTGGGTTTTGAGAAAAACTATCATATTATCATAATATATCCACAAATCGTTATAAAAGCACCATAATTTGGTGCAATGTTAGTTAATTTTGGTTAGGAGGGAATTGGGTTGTCCAAATTCAATACCGTTAGGTATGATTGGATCCGTTATATAAAAGAGAGGTGTTTTAGATTCGGATTCTCTCTAATTAGGTGATAAGTAGAGAAGATCCAATTCTCTCAATTGTTATCGTCCATTCTAATTGAGAGGGATGTGATTAAGCTTTGTAAAATTTTGATTACTGCACGAAAATTGCTATTTTAAAAATCACTATTTCAATAGTGAAAAATCCTACGTGACATAAACCCATCCGTCTAAATTGAAATGAACAATTAGGATAGGGAGAACCGGATCCCCTCTTAGAACCGAGAATCCATTTGTGAATGAAGTCTTCAGGTAAACTCCTCAACCCAAACTCGGATCCATTTCCGGACACGATTGAATTATCGGATTCAGGTTTATCATATATCCAAACCCAACATAATGGTCCCCACATGCAGTTGTAACTCGCATAGCCTTCAAGCTGTCCAAAAGCCGGGATGCGTAATGTAAGCAAAGCCTCTTGCCCCTTGACAAAGAAAATTGAGGTGGACGGAAATCTCAGGCCGGTCACCGAATGATCCCCTACGCATCTTCAAAACACCAAACATGTAAAACATCCATCCCTCATGTTTATTGTTTCCCACTCACACTACTCGCCGCGTGTCACATCATAACATGCACTAGTATATGTTTCAAGTACAAGATAAGAGATGAGAGACTATGTATTTGTTGGTAATGGTGGATGAATAGAAAAATCCAGCGAGATTCCCTAGGTGAGGAAATTTTGGGGCTACCCATCTGGATTTCATTGTTTTATATTACGAGGAATAGGGTAGAGTATAAGTATGTTGAGTATTTGAAGGAATCAAGATCGTATACATTTTTGTTTGCAAGAATTGACGGTGGATAGCTCATAGTTGAGTTGTGTACAGGCTAGCTAGCTCTTTATGTCCTTGGTACCTCAGCCGCTGTTTGGTTTGCCAAAAAATTATTGAAAATGAAAAAAGAGTATAACTTGTTATAAATTTTTCATAACATTTTTCTTTTCTTTGTTTGGTTCACATATTAGAACCAACCAAGAAAATTGATGATGTGCCAAAATCTTATTAATTGATATGACCCACATTTTAGGATACATATTTCATGATTTTTATTGATAAAATTAAAAGAAATTTTGTTTGATGTTTTCATCATCTTCTTCATTTTTCTTTGATTTTAAGTAAAACAACAAAGGAGGCCCTTAGAGTTTAGCCTCATTAGTGTGGTGCGCTTGACTTTTAAGACAATAGAAGATTTAGTCAGAGGTTTCTAAAGTCATTTGAGCTCGAAGCCTGCTGACAACGATAATGTACAAAGAGCTTTGCTACAGGGACCCAAAATATGGGACCAATAAAGAGGACAAGTGAGGGACCCAAAATATGAGACCAATTAATGATGGCCAACTCATTATCCAATAGGAGGGGGACACCTCACTTGTCCCCTTTATTGGTCCCATACATTATCCAATAGGAGGGGGACACCTCACTTGTCCCCTTTATTGGTCCCATATTTTGGGTCCTTAAAGAATTTTTCATGTACAAAATACAAGGGAGATGCATGTTTGTCTTGAGATTGCAATGTGGGCCCCGAAGAGAAGCGGCTCATTAAGCACCAGTGGGCTCTACGTCCACCTCTAAGGGGCTGTTTGTTTGGCCGTTTTGGCCTTGGGAAGCGGCCAAAAAGCTGCCATTTTGGCAGCTTTCTGGCTCCTTCCCGAGGTCAAAACGGGAGTTTTCAGCCATCCAAACAGCCCCTCAATCTGGGTAAATAAGTTAGGGTTATTTTCATTTTAGTCCCTCGAATATTTCGTACTTTTAGATTTGGCTCTCAACTCATTGAAATTGCTATAAGGTCCTCCAAAATCATATGT